CCGCACAGATCTCCACGCAACCGCATCCGGGAGCCGTGACGGGGGAAGGCCCCGCTGCCGCTATCATCCCCCGCGTAGGCTTTGCCCCGCGAACTCCGGCGGTGGTGAGTAGAGGGGCTGTGGCTCAAAGCCCTAGATCAGACCGAGAGGGCGGGGATCGGGAAGAAGAAGATCAGGAGTGAGGGGGTCGAGGAGAGGGGTAGCGGCTCCTAGATCGGATTGGGAGCCTGCGTGTTTTCCCTTGTTAAACGTACATCATATTTACTTCCTCCATCCCATAATATTGCTAGCATCCCATAATTTTATGGGATGGAGGGTGTATTAATTTCTGGTGATTGTAACAATGGCTAACTCAATTCCAAGTGTTTAGAAAGGTAATAAGAGTGAGCAGCGATTTGTATTTATTTGGTACTTGCATTGAGGGAATATATAGGTATCCGTCCAGGAAGATAATTTAAGATAGATCTGAACTTGGTGAACGAGCCAACAGTTTACATGGAGACAAAGGCCATGTGATAGCCTTGTGGCTATCTTAATTAGCCGTTTGGATTAGGGAATAGGGATGCAAGTGGGAGCCCGTGAGCACTAAAAAAATCGTAACCTCATGGGTCTACAAATTGCGGTAACTTGCAACTAGTTGATTCTGTCATTCTCAACAGACCTGCACATGTTGTCTAGTCAAGTTCATGCATATGTGACACAACCATGTCTGTCATCTGAGAAGGAAGCTGCACCAAAATAATTTCAGACCAAACCATGGGCGGGCCCAATTTGATATTTTTATTGGGTGGGCCCAAGGTGGCTACCGACAGCGAAGTCTGCTGATCAGACATATCTCTTTGCTTTGCTTTTATATATGGCAAGGGGCACCGGCCGGCAACAAGCAATCCATTCATCTCAGATCTCAACTACATCCCCTCCTGGTGTTCTCTTCTCAGCTTGGATCCCGCACCAACTGTTCATCTTCAAGGTTAGTGGGCTTGATAAACTGCTTAATTATTTTCAGATACGACTTCCTTGTGCGTATCTTGTATCAAGTCAGCTGATCTTAAATATCACCTTGCTTTGAAAGGTGCTCATTAAATCCCACCTCTGGTTTTCTACCCTTCTTGGATCTCTAATCAGGTTTTTCTCCAAGGTCAGTGCCCTTGACAAACTCCATATTTTTCAGATATTCCTAGCCGTCATGCTTGTCCATATGTACTTAGTCTGATGTAGTTTAACAACTTCCTTGCTTTGGTAAATTGGAAGTTAGAGTTGCTCACCTCAATAACTTCATACATCGTCAGCAATGGCCACCGGAGGTATAACCATAGAAACCATACCAGAGGAACTTCCACTTGACTTTCTGAAGAAAATTACGAATAACTTCTCCAGCGACAGTGATCATCTGATTGGAACAGGATCATTTGGGTCAGTTTATAGGGTATGATTTTGCCACAACATCTTCTGTCTGTTTTTATATTTTTGAATGTTGATACATAGAAAGTTATGAATCCCGAGCACACCTGCTCTCTATATTTTGTTTTGTTTTGAAACCTGTTATATATATCTCGAACACCACCGAGCTGCTCTACGATTACATGACTACACGCGCTCCTCCCCATGTACGAAATTACATGATACAGTTGACAACAAGCCGGCCGAGGCCATCAAACATAAGTACATAACTGCAACCAGCCGCAACGGCTGGTCAAGCCATCCCTGCCACACGTACTTGGCTCGTCCCGGTCGGTATCTCGATCTAGCCTACCAGCTTATTTCTAGTGTATTTGGCTGCGGTGTGGTGTTCATAATTTCTTTTGCATAAAGGACCAGATCTATTATAAAGATTCTTTGGAAGTACAAAGCTCCTCAAACGTAATAAAAAGAGCAGTTTTAGCATGCTCCCTCTTACCCCCTCTTTTCACGTGAGAGGTAAGAGTATGTACATCGAGGTCCATCAACCACTGAACGACCAATTCCGCCACTAGGACCAGCCACCGACGCACCGATGTTGCTGCTCCCATACCGGAGCCGACCTGACATTGTGGATCACTCATTGCCGGAAGTCTTAGTGCACGTGTCCATAAGGACCAGCGCCCGAAGCCGCAGTCATCATTGTCGTCAATGAATCATTCAATCAATCTGAAGAACATGACACCAAATCCCGTTGTTGAGTAAGCATAGTAAGAAACGCTATTCTCATCACCCCATGGAGCTAGCAAGAATCTACAGCGGAGATTCGTCTAATCCGTCCCGACGGACGAACTTGAGTAGGATCGAAGCCCGGAAGACTGACTCGAAAAAGAAGCCGCACTATCTGTTCGTGCACCGCCATTGCGAGAACTAGCCGGACCCGAGGCACCAGAAATCCCCTCTCCGCTACAGACAGTAAGAGCGGCAATGAAGGGGAGGCGAATCCACGGACTCACCGGCGAAAATTGATGGGAGGAAGACTTTTTCTAGTCGCCTTGCGAGAGGTGAAAGAAAAGGGCTCCTACTAGATGGCCTTAGACAATCCACATAATGACAATAGATATGACGTGGTGCTCCTATATAATAGGCCTGGTTTATATGTGTCCGATTCAAACACCCCCCTAACTTCAAGTTCAGTTGTAGCACAACTTATACAGATAATATTCGAGACATAATTTTAACAAACACGATGATTGCAGCGCCCACCGGTGAGGTTGCAACACCACATCAGCGCCGGCCCGTGAGCTGGCCAGTTGCGAAAATTGTTCTTGTATTAGCTTTCGTACATGCATACACAGTTACTCCCTCCGTTCCGAATTACTTGTCTTAGATTTATCTAGATACGGATGTATCTAGCACTAAAATGAGTTTAGTTACATTTGTATTTAGACAAATCCAAGACAAGTAATTCGGAACGGAGGGAGTAGCTGGTAGTGATCACCACGCAATCTTGACGATAGAGATTCTAGGAGCTTCTGTGTTCAGGAGTCATAAAACCTAATATATATTAATTTCTTGTTACGTAAAATAGGGGTTTCTGGATAATGGCGAGGTGATTGCTGTGAAGAAACTCGGGGAAGAATCACCTGTGCCACGTGACAAAGTATTTGCAAATGAGGTTAAGAATATTATGGTGCTCGAACATGAAAATATTGTCAAGTTGATAGCATACTGCTATGAAACAAACAACAGATTGGTGCTGAGCAATGGAAGACACATTATTGCAGAGATTACTGAAACTTTACTCTGCTATGAATACTTAGCTAAGGGTGGCCTCGACAAGAATCTTTTCGGTATGTCATAGAATATTTCACTATTCAAGCTATTTATGTTTATTTCTGCACTTCTTACTTTTTAAATGGTTTGGAAACTTCATCTATTCTTCAGACCATTATAAAAATGGGCAAGAAAAGAAAACACCCACACTATCAATAAGAAAATTGTGCTATTGATTGGTGGAAGTTGTTCACTTAAATGTCCTTATTTGTGGTTATTATTCTAAGAAATACTTATCATTTGAATCCATTATTTTAAAATAATTATAAAATTCTGTGATACTATAGGTGAACCCAGTATTGACTGGGATACACGGTTCAAAATAATAAAGGGGATTTGTGAAGGTGTACATTTTATACATACCTTACCTAGTCCCATTCTCCATTTGGGTCTGAAGACTCAAAATATATTGCTGGATGACAACTTGACACCAAAACTTTCGGATTTTGGATTCGCCAGAATATTTGGGGAAGAATACACCCGAATAAACACAAGAAGTGTTGTGGGACATGTGTAAGCTACTTTCTAACTATTCAGATCTATCAGCTACCTTGTTCCTATAATAAATTGTAAATTTTATTTTCACATCTCCAATAATCCTCAATTTAATCTTGATGTTAATGCCTTCAGTGGATACATGGCCCCAGAGTATCTATATAATGGTGAAATCTCGGCCCGTTCGGACATATATAGTTTAGGCCTAATTATATTGGAGATCTGCACGAAAGAGAAGAATAGTTCCAGCACTGACCAGAAGCATGCAAGGAAATATATTGACGGGGTAAGAATATATATCACATCATTACTGGAAAAATTGAAATTGAGATTATTCTAGTACAGTTAATTTGTTTACACACACACATGCATGGGAGGATAATTTAATTTTTTTTATGCAGGTAAAAAAACATTGGTTCCAAATAGAACAAATAATGGCCGAGTATTCCGATTTAGAAGAACATTGTTTTGACCAAATAGAAGGCTGCATACATATTGGACTAGAATGTGTGGAGCTTGATCAGAAGAAGAGACCTTCCATAGAGCACATTGTGAACAAGCTCAATAATCTCCCAACTGAGAATAGTTAATTCCATTAGATTGTAAGACAATATACTATGATAGGTTAGCAAGTGCCTACGTACAAAGCCACACTCGTGTCATTTTTTAAGTTTTAAGAATGATTAAAATTCATTCCTATGTGGTTATTGGAAGGAAGTTAAACAAGGGAAAGGGTTGACTAAGAGCATCTCTAGCGAAGTGGTCGGCACGCTTAACAGAAGAATGCTCAATATTTGAAAACTCTAAACAGATCCTTTGTATGGAAGGATGCATATGAATGAATTATATTTCAAGCTCAACTATGAGTAAACATATAGCATCGGCAAGGCTACTAGTTTTATGGAGAATAGACCCACCCAAGGTGGGGAGTGCACCGGCACAAGTAAAGAAATCTTGAATAACATGATAGTAGATTTCCCAATAATATTTCGGCATAATAATACTATTACTCCACACAGTGACCTCTATCCGGCATGCATCTAGAGTATTACGTTCATAAGAATAGAGTAACGCATTAGGCAAGATGACATGATGTAGAGGAATTAACTCAAGCCTTATGATGAAAACCACATCTTTTGTACCTCGATGGCAAAAATAAAATATGTGTCGGTTCCCCTTTTGTCACTAGGACCAAGCACCGCAAGATGGAACCCAAAGCTAAGCACTTCTGCCATTGCAAGAAAAACTAATCTAGTTGGCCAAACCAAATTGACAGTTCGAAGAGACATGCAAAGATACCAAATCATCACTACTAGGGAAAACCTTATACACAAAAATTTAGCAACAGCGCGGGTCAAAAAAGGGCGCTAGTGCTAGATAGCAGTAGCGATTGAGAAAAAACCGCGCTGCAGATACAATTGTAGCAGTAGCGCGTGTGATCGTAAAAGCGCTACTACTAATATTCCCATTGGTGGAACGATAGTCTACGCATAGCAGTAGCGGGCTTGGAGGAAGCGCGCTGCAGCTAGGGAATGAGTAGCAGCATGTTTTACAAGAAGAGCGCTACTGCTAACGGAAATAAAATAAAATGATAAACAAATAGAAAAGTAAATGAAAATGAAAGAAACAGAAAAGGAGAAAGAAAAAAATAAAATGTAAAGCAAAATAAATGAAAAAGTGAAAAAACATAGAAAGGCATAGCTGTAGCGTGTGTTTGAAAGAGGCGCTATAGCTAACATAGCTGCAGCGCGTTTCCTAGACCCCCGCTGTAGAAACAGAAAAGGAAATAAAAAAGGGAGAAATTTACATAGCCGTAGCAGTAGCGTGTTTTGTAAAACACGCTATAGCTTTAGCTATAGCGCGTTTTGCGAAACGCGCTACCGCTACGTTTGACTTAACCAAAAAACCGTTTCCCCCGGCCACCATTGCCCCCCAAACCTCTCGACCCACCCCGCCGCCATCTCCCCGATTCGCCGTCGCCCTACTTCGCCGCCGTCTCCTGCCGACGTCGACGCCCCCGGAGCCACCGGAGCCGTGCGCCGTCGACGCCACCGGAGCCGCCCCCAACGCCACGGAGCCGTGCGGCCTCATCAACGCCATCGGAGCCGCCGTCGACGCCACCGGATCCTCCCTCGCCACAACTGCCTCCCTCGCCGTCACCAGAGACGCCCCTGCCTCCCTCGCCACCACCGGAGCCATCCTCTATAAGCCCCCACCCCTCCTCTCTCTCTCTCATGCATAGGTTAATTATCTAGGTTATTTAGGCAAAAATTTAGTTAGGGCTTTGACAGAGAACTAGTCAGGTTAACTACTTTAATTAGGTTAATTATCTAGGTTATTTAGGCAAGTTTTATTTTAAAGAAGATCCCTTCCTAGACTTTTATTGTTGATTATATCTTTTCATTGAAGTGGTCATGTTATATCTTTTCATTGAAGTGGTTCGATTGTGTCCAAGTGGCTTTGTTGTTTAAATGAAGCTGAGTGGCCTATATATGTTTTGCCAGAATGTTGATTCATTTCCGTTCCGGCAAATTTCAGGTTCTCGATTTGTCCACTTTTTAGCAAAGGTCATGCTGAAATTTTCCGTGAATTTCGGCATGACTTGTGCTACAAACTAGGACATACCGAGTGCCCGGGATTTGCCGCACCAGGAAGGGGTGGAGAGGTTAGGGACAAGAAGAGAAGGGGCGGCAGGCTCGCCTTCGGCCATAAGACCGACTTCTGCTGCATCCAGCAACCGAACGATTCTCTTAATGATGGATTCTATGTCCTACACCACATGCTGGAGTACACACGGGATCACCAGAACCTTCGCATGTCACCTACATCCGGTGATGCCCATATTCTGCAATGGGCAAAGAACGTAGGAGATATCGAGGATCATCGACTTCGAGCCGATTTCTATCACATCCAGCACGAACTTGCCCAAATCATCATGAAGGAGGTCGTCGGAAAAACAGGGATGTTCTACGAAGAAGGACAAATGTCGCGGGAAGACGTCCGAACATGGGTAGCCGCTCAGCGTCTCGACCTGAAGCCTTTCACTAGGCTCGGGGACAATCTCCCTGACATGGATGGATGGAACGACATGTTGGAGTGATTGTCGATATATGACAATGTGTCCGTTTAGTCCATACTTTCTGTATGACAAAACTTTGAGTTATGCACGGTGAAACTTTATTTGTGATGTAATTAAACTGTCCTCCTCCTTGACTAGCGAAAATCACTCTAGTAGGGCATTTTGGGGTACGATGAACTTTGTTATTTATGCTTATGATATGTTGTTTCTATTTTTGCCAAGTCTGTCTCTTTCTGTTGCTCAACTATATATGTTGCATATCATCGACTCATGTGACGATGCAGGTGCATAGATCATCGATGGTGAATAAGTGCTACGCCAGGAGTATATATACGACAAGTGGCCGGAGTGTCAGGCCCAGGTGTACCGGTTTCCGAGCGACAGGCAGTAGTTAGTTTAGGTTCACGCTAATGCGAGAGAGGGATACGAACTCATATACTTAAAGTGATAGCTCTTCTCGCGTATACCATTGTTTAGATGGATGACGATGTATTTTCAAGTAATCGAGACTTGTATCGCTATTTTCGAGATGATGACGAGAGACCACTTTGTGTTGGATGATGATTATGATGATGACATGATTTGATGAGACTAATTGTATGTATATGCTATGATTACATTTGTATGTGTATGATATGCTAAAGATTATTGTATAAAGCCTATTCAAATACAAAACAAATACAAAAACAAATATGCAGGGAAAAAAAACTAATAAAACTAGTAGTAGCGAGGGGGGGAAATTTAGCAGTAGCGCCGCATTACCAGTAGCGCTTCCCAGTAAACAGCGCTGCAGATAATATCAGCAGCGCCCTTTTCTAAAGAGCGCTACAGCTATTCATGTATAGCAGTAGCGTGGGACAACAGGCGCTACTGCTATACGTTAGCTGTAGCGCCTTATTAGTAGCGCCGGTCCCCGCGCTACTGAGAGGCCCAAAACCCGCGCTGCTGCTAGGCTTTTCCCTAGTAGTGGCATGCATATAAGAATTCAAAGAAGATTCAAATAATATTCATAGATAAGCTGATCATAAATCCACAATTCATCGGATCTCGGAAGACACACCGCAAAAGAGTATTACATCGAATAGATCTCCAAAAACATCGAGGAGAACTTTGTATTGAGAATCAAAGAGAGAGAAGAAGCCATCTAGATACTAGCTATGGACCATAGGTTTGTGGTAAACTACTCATGCTTCATCGGAGAGGCAATGATGTTGATGTATAAGCCCTCCGTAATCGAATCCCCCTCCGGCAGGATGCCAGAAAAGGCCCCTAGATGGGATCTCATGGGTACAGAAGGTTGCGGCGGTGGAAAAGTGGTTTCGTGGCTCCCCTGGAAGTTTTTTGGGGGTATTTGAGAATATATAGGAGGAAGATCTAGGTCAGGGGGTCAGCGAGGGGTCCACAAGGTCGGGGGGCGCGCCCTACCCCTGGGAGCGCCCTCCACCCTTGTGGTTGTCTCGTGGCTCTTCTGACTTGCACTCCAAGTCTCCTGGGTGTCTTCTTGTCCAAGAAAAATCATCATGAAAGTTTTATTCCGTTTGGTATTCCTTTTGTGCGATACTCTAAAATAAGGAAACAATCAAAATTGGCACTAGGCTCTAGGTTAATAGGTTAGTCGCAAAAATCATATAAAATAGCATATTAATGCATATAAAACATCCATAACAGATAATATCATGAAACAATCAAAAAATATAGATACGTTGGAGATGTATCAAGCCTTCGGATGAAGAATGGATGGCATCTAGTGGGGCTAAGTTAGCCTCTGACTCTCCTTCTAGATTTTAGAGAGTTGGAGCCCGGAATTAATAGCCTTCGGTCTAAGGCCGTGAGGCTGATGGTGGTGGCGGGTCCTCATCCTCCTCGCGCGACTGATGGCGGTGGGGCCCCCATCCTTCTCGCGTTGCGAGATCTTCGGCTGGAGCTCCATGGCGGCCCTGGACGCCATGGTTCTTACGGTGGAGAACCGCGCCGGGGCGGCGGCCCCTAATTTTTCCGGCGACCACAACTGCCGCTGTGGCGGCGAGGGCGTCTCGGCGTCTGGTTCGGGGGGCTCGATGCGGCTCAGCTACTCATCTCCGCGTGGTGCCGGTGGTGGCGGTGGTGCCCGCTGAGATCTCCGGCCTGCTGTTGGGAGTTGGCGGGTGGTGCGGTCCTTTGGTTCTTTTTTCTCTATGATGGTGTTCTGCTGGTTGCCGACCATCATGGATCTGGCCATTGACGAGTTCCGGAATGCTTCGCTGGAGATCTTCATGGGGTGCTTGACGCCTGTAGATTTCTGGATCGGATGGGATTCGGTCGTGTGCGCCCCTATTTTAGGCCGAGTGGCTTCAGGAGGGTGTGACGCGAAGCTTCGTTGTCTATTGACAGTATGGGACATGTCGTTATTTCAATTTCCATGGTGAAGACAGTGATAGAGAACGTCATTGCGGCTGAGGTCTGAGGACTTGTAATAGCGGATCGAGTCCTCGCGGCGATGAGGACTTTGCTTGGTGATTCATGACTCGTGGC